GCAGGCGGGGCAGGAGGCCCGCCCAGCAGGGACAGCTGTCTGGTGACCAGGAGGAGCAATCAGGCCTGTCCCCCCAGCAGAGGCTTGGGGACGCCCGGCTGTGGCAGGTGGCTCACGGTCCCTCCTGGCGGAGCCACCCCTGACTGATTCTCAATCTGCCACACTCGGGGCACGACCCTGAGCGCACGCACACTGTCACCCACACAGTGTCCCCTCCTCTGTCCCTGGCACATAATCAAACCCCACTGGGAACGAGCCAGCAAGACCAAGAGCCTGGCCACGTCCCAGACCTGCCACACGAGGACGGGGACACTGGCTGGTCACCTTGGGGGCTCTCTGCAAATGGGAGCCAGAGGCACAGAGCTGAGGACCGAGGAGAGGAGCGCGCAGCGTCCACCCACTGGGGGCACAGGGTGGGGTGGTGGCCTGGCCCCACACGGAGCAGGAGGCACCCGGGGACGGGGCCCACATGGGCAGTTTGTCCCAGGAGGGGACACATAGGGACAGCAGGTCCAGGGGGCAGGTCCCCAGGAGTGCCTGGCACCGCTGGCCACACGGGGCTGTCTGGACCCAGGGCGCCAACCCGCAGGGCTCCCCACCCCAGGCGTGGCCAGTGCCAGCCACCACGGGCTCAGGGATACCTGGGAGACCACAATGACCTTGCCGGTGTCCGCGTCCGCCGCTTGCACGACGCCCGACACGGTGCCGCTGCCCACGGCCAGGCCACGGACCAGCCCTGTGCTGCCCACGGTGGCCACGCTGGCGTTGCTGACGGAGAAGAGGATGTGGGACTGCGGCTGGGGACCGCCCTCGGAGGTGACCTGCGGGGCAGACGCGTGGCTTCGTGGGCACCTGCACCGCGCGTCAGGAACGTCCACCCTCGGGCCAGCAGAGGCCGCAGGCGGGACTGTCCTGAGCCGGGACGGTGGCCTCCTCGCTGGGACCCGCTGGGGACACGAGTGGGAAGGACAGGCCTCGGCTCCTACCTGCATCGTGGCCCCGATGATCAGCGTCACCCTCCTGGGAATCAGCCTGAACGGGGGGAAGACCTGAGGGGACGGGAGAGGACG